GGGCGGCCACACCAACTGCCAAGCACACAGAAAGGACTGGCAGTAAGACCTGTCTCCACAGGCAGCTGCCTCAGCCCACAGCTGGCTTTGCGTGTGAAGCATGGAATGCTGAAATCCAGGGCATTCCCGAACTCTCGGGGGCCAGCTGGCTGTCAGCTTCTTTTCAGATGAAACTTTTAATTCAGTTAAAATATCTCAGATCCACCCCTTCGCGTTAACAGTCAGATCCAATCTGTTGGCCCCGGAAGTGCAATCACAGAGTTCTAGCTGTCTACCTCCTGACGAGGTGTGGGGCCAGGGCGCTGCATGGTGCTGTGAAGCAGGAGAGGTGCTGGGCTGCCCCACTGTCCCTTCTCCAGCGCTCAGCAGGCTTGGGGGAGATTTCCCCAGGACCCAGGAGTGGAGGCACATGGTCCACGAACGTCACGTACTGCATGTTCCCTGCAAGGGACACAAAAAGGCACCCCTGGGGGCAAAGTGAAGGGAAAACAGCAAAGAAAAACAGCTGGGCAGGATAGAGTGTGTGAGAAAATGACCAAGAAATGCAACAACAACAACAAAAATCCCTACTAATCCGTTATCAAGTTTCACAAAATTGGGCCCACACTATTAATTCCAACAAGTCAACACTAGAAGGTCGAACCAAAAAGGTTAGGGACGGCTGTAAATGGGAGGTGTGATCGTCAGCATCTAGTACTGTGTTTCCTGCCTAGCCGGAGAAAGTCTGACTTTTCCGCCGGGTGGGGGGGACTTGAGAGTGCCAGGCAATCTAACGGCCTTTTCGTGAATTAATCAAATGAGAACAATAACTTTTTTTTTTAAAGATTTTATTTATTTATTTATTAGAGAGAGAGAGAGAAACAGCATGAGAGGGGATAGGGTCAGAGGGAGAAGCAGGCTCCCCGCTGAGCCGGGAGCCCGATGTGAGACTCGATCCCAGGACTCTGGGATCATGACCTGAGCTGAAGGCAGTCGCTTAACCAACTGAGCCACCCAGGCGCCCCGAGAACAATAACTTTTAAACCCAAATCTAATCATACTCTTTGCAAGCCAATAAAGAGAGAAGGGCGAGGGGGAGGGCATTTACTTGTAGACTGGGGTGATTAAATCCCCAGCCAGGAAAACATTTCTGAAGACCCCATAGAGAGACAATGCAAACAAAAAATCCCACAGAATCACTGCCTAGAGTAATTGCCTTGATTAAGTTTACTGGGGTAAGTTGAATAACTACCCCTTAAAACACAATTAGGTAAATTGATATCACTGTAAGCTGTTTCAAAGCAATCAAATGAGGCTCTTCTCAGGAAAGAGAATAGCTCACTCTCAAAGTGAAAAATCTAATTTAGAACTTATTACTCAGTTTACAATGTTCCTAATGGGTGCTATCGTGATGGCCCATGACCTCGCAAGTGTTCCAGAAGAGACCAATGTTCAAGGCTGTCTTCCATCTTACACTTCCGTAAGAGTTGATCTTCTAGCCATACCTACACCCTGCAAAGTTGTGGTGCTCTTCTAAAACTCTGTCCGCAGCTTAACGCCCAAGAAGACACGGACAGGCATACCTCGGGAAAAATTGCAGGTTCGGTTCCAGAACCTCACAATCAAGGGATTCAAATGAATCTTTTGGTTTCCCAGTGCATATAAGTTATGTTCACACTATACTGTCAACTACTAGGTGTGCAACAATCCCTAAAAAACAACGCACATAAGTGTCTGCCTTCGGCTCAGGTCATGATCTCAGGGTCCTGGAATCGAGCCCCACGTCGGGCTCCCTCCTCCGCGGGGAGTCTGCTTCTCCCTCTCTCTCTGTATCTCTGTCTCAAATGAATAAATAAAATCTTTAAAAAAGAATGCTAGCCATCATCTGAGCTTTCAATGAGTCATAATCACTGATAACAGATCACCATAACAAATACAACAATGAAAAAGTCTAAAATGTGGCAAGAATTACCAAAATGTGACACAGAGACACATAGTGAGCAAATGCTGTTGGAAAATGTGTCACCAACAGTCTTGCTCAAGCAGGGCTGTCACAAACCTTCAATCTGCAAAAAAGCGAAAAACAAAAGGCAATCTCTGCAAAGCTCAGTAAAGCAAAGCGCAGTAACACAACGTATGCCTAGGACGAACTTTCAGGGCAAGTGCTGACCTGCCCAGGCGCTGTGTCCTCCACGGGCCACAACCATGCATAGTTTTCAACGAAGTGTGCTAGCACGTCTCCTGCACATTTCTTCTTCCATCTGCAAATACTCCACGGTGAGTAGAGCATACGTTATAAATCAAATGGGAATGTTTTGGTCCTCTCTATTCCCTGGACCAACCTATAGTAGTTTAACTTTTAGTGTGGAATGGAATTTTAAGTTAACAGTGAAACCATCTCCCTGGCCAAAAAAACCCCCCCAAAAAATCCAAAAATCAAAAAACAGCTGAGTGCATGTGCAAAATTATCAGAGACTAAATGAAATCAGTGAATGTACCCTTCAGTGCTCTCACAAAAAAACACATTATTATCTCCTACCTACCCAGGGTCCCTGAGGTCCCACTTTAGGATTTTAGTGACACATGGCTCTGCTTGGCTTCCAACACTAAACAGGACTTCAAAATGGTTTTTTGATCCCCTGGAGAATCATTTTGCTGCCGTCAGCACCACCCTGGCCACGCTCGGGGTGAAATGGTTGTAGGAAGGAAGGGCAGAGCAAGGAGAACGGAAGAGCTTTGGAAGGCCAAAGAAAAGTGTTCTAGCTTCACCTAAAGCCCTCCTCCTTTTCTTTCTGCTTCCTCTACAACCCTGGGACCGATGGTCCACAGAGGGTTTAAGAGTTCTTCCAGCTCTCACCGCAGGCAACCACGACCTCATGGCAGTTCTCAGGAACACCCTCTACACCCTTGCTACTCAAACGTGGTTCATGAACCAGCAGCATCAACATCAGAGGGGAGCTTGTGAAAAATGCAGACTCTCAGGCCCCGCCCCAGACCTGCCAATCAGAATCTGCAGCTGAACAGGACCCCCGGTGATTCACATAACATCAGAGTTAGGGTAGACTAATAGTTTCATAAGCTTTTGTTTCTCTGAGGTCGCATTTTTCCCAACAAAAATGTCACCAGAATGTTTTTGGTTTTTTTTTTTTAATTTTATTTACTTATTTGATAGAGAGAGAGCACAAGTAGGCAGGGGGAGAGGGAGAAGCAGGCTCTCTGCGGAGCAGGGAGCCCGACGTGGGGCTCCATCCCAGGACCCTGGGATCACGACCTGAGCCGAAGGCAGGCGCTTAACGGCTGAGCCACCCAGGCGCCCTCAGAATGGTTTTTAAAAATGCAGAAAAATACCCATTGGACAGCTTTTCCCAGTTATCATTGGACCTCAAACAGTGAACTTTTTTTTAATGTGGTAAGATGTACAAAAGAACAAAAAAATGTACCACTTTGACCATTTAAGTGTTCAGTTCAGGGGCATTAAAGCACATGGACATTGTCCTACAACCATCCCCACGTCCACCTTCAGAAATGTTCCCAAACTGGAACTCTGTACCCATTAAACAGTAACTCTTCATTCTACCTCCCCCTGCCTCCCCCCACACTGATTTCTTCACACCCTTTAATAATCGGAGTTAAACGGAGTTAAAAGTAGCCAATATCTTGAAAAGTTACCATAGACTTTTTTTCCATCACTTTGAAAAGTATGTACAGAACCTAAAAGGGAGTGAATTCTCATCTGGGTCAAGTGGGAAAGGAGGACGGGCAGGATAATGGCAAGACGGACAAATGCTGATGAACCCTGCACAGGAATGTACACACTTAAGCCTGACAAAAGTCACTAGGCCTGTTCTTAGTTTACAGATCATACTGCACAACCCGAGAATCTGATGAGAAGGAAACCAGGCTGGGCAGCAGTTCCAGCGTCCACACTGGCAATGACCATCAGACTTGTGATCTATCTGCCCCATTCCCCATCCCCCACAACCGCCATAGACCAAACCCAGCTAGGTCTTCACCACCAGACAAACGCTCATCAACTACTCAAGACTCTCAGATGACAAAGAAACCGTGGAATTGCAAGACAGCCCAGTAACATCACTGTTTATTAAGCCAAGAAACGAGAAAGGTACCACCTAGTGGACTCTAAGAGGTTGATAACCACCTAGCCCACCTGCCTTAAACTACTGGACACTGACCCGGAAGGTTTTGTTCTCAACAAAACTCGCAAACCAGATTCAGAAACTGTGAGTTTTAAATACTAGCAAAGGACATCCTTCTCTCTAGAGGTCTTAAATTTTGCCAAGTGCCTCTGAAAAAGGGATCCATTTGTGACATTAAAATTAGTTTCCTTAATAAAATGGAGACACCAGCCTTCTTTTACAATCGCCCAATTATAACCAGTGAGCTAGTTTCTGGATTCATGTATTTGTTTTCACTGATACAGCTTTTAGGTTACACTAAAGAACAGGGAACCAGAAGCAGTGGATGATGCCCCCTACAGAAGGAACCTCTTCATTTGACCAACAAGGTGGACAAGGAAGCTCAGGTGAGGTAGTGTAGCCCACCTTGTTCTTACAAGGAACCACCACTACCTACATTCCCACTGGCAGACCCATTTTTCCAACACTCTAGGAAACGGAAGAATTTTAAGGGAAAGTGGTAAGGAAACCAATATGCAAATATCAATAATTCTGAAGTGTTTCTCAAATTGCTTGCACCCTATACGTCTGTTTCTTTGTCGAGATTCCCAGGAACCAGCCAAGTGGAGTGCTCTTCTGTCCTGTCCTGGTTGGAACACTTTGTACGTTCCATTTGGAGAATTTTACTGCATCTCTCACACACTTGAGGTGTATGTTCCACATTCTTTTCGAGATTTGGTTTTCCCCACTTAGAAAAAAAGTCTGGGTATTGCGGGGCGGGGAGGGCGGGGGGCGGTTGGGAGGGAGGCAGGCCCACATGTGCTCCTGGAGGACAACTTCCAGAAGCAGAACACAGATGTCGGGAAGCTGCAGACATGTGCTCACCTGACCATAGTCTGTCCGGAAGACCACGACGCCCTCTGCACAGGAATTGACAGTACTTGGAAAATGCTGGCCATTTTCTCTCAGCCAGACCCGTGTTCCCTGTAAACAAAACAAAGAGGGTTTAACTAGGGAGTTTGGGTTGCGTTCCGTGGCAAATCACCACTCTCAAAATCACTGACTACTACAGTCCTTTAAGAAAAAACAACAACTTTTTAAAAAGCCAGTGTTTTTCTCAGACCAGAACGACTCTGCAGAAAGCATCAGGCCCAGCCTTCACCAGAGACAAGCACGACTGAGCGTCCCACCAGAGAGCACGGAAGAGGGGATGAGGAAATAGTAGGCCCTGTGTTGCTGAAATGCAAGTGGTTTATGTGGACGATCTCATTTCACTCACAAAGGCCCTTGAGACAGGCACTGTTACCACTCTACAGATGGACACCTGAAGGTCTCAAGACAGAGCAACTTGCCCAGCATCACAAGAACGAACGAACCTGACCCCAGGCAGTTGGGTTCCAGAAACAAGTTTAACCAGATCGCTACCTTGCTCCACCCATGGTACTTTAAACTTTGGGATCTGCTGGCTCCCGTCTTCCCAGCTCCAAGCCCCAAGCGCTTGCCTGCCTGGACAGCATTCGAACAGTCTGCTGACTTCCTACTGGTACCAAGTCCATGTGTCAAATCAACTCTCCAAGAGAGGGCCTCAAGTTTTAGGAAAGATCAGAACCCAATCCACCAGTGTGAAGTTTGCTAGGATTCCACCAAACCACCCAACGCACTCCAGTGTTCAGAACTGCAGCCCAAGACAGAAATTTCCAGATCCTATTGTTTTCACCTGGGGCCTATTTTTTGGCGTTGATTTTATTTCCATTTTTTATGTCCCCACTGGACAAATGAAACAAGCATAGTATTTACCTTTTCAACGATGAACTTCCTCTTTCTCTGATTTCACAACATGAAAAACAGTGACCCAAGTGATAAAAGTTTGAAGAAATCACTGGGTGTTACTGGTCAAATTATAAAGAATTATCTGTATGATGTATGCCCGCATGACGGAACGTAACACTAAAATTTCTCATCAGGTTATTACTAATTTGCTCAATTTCCTCGATCCCAACAAAAATGACACTAAACAAGCACATCCTTACGATACAGTATGTTCATGTGGAAATACTATACCTAAGTTATCACTTGAAATGGCACTTACATGGAACAACTTTTTCTAGAACTTTCAACCTCATTTTATTGGTCTACTTAATTTGTTTTGATTTCAAAAGTTAAGTGAAATATTTAAAATGTACTGGTTATAGAATATTCAACTTGCCATTTAAGGGGCTAAATAATACAGAGTTGGCAGGGGATAAATAATACAGAAGTAAACTCACCACTTTATGCTTATTTTTTTATAAGTTGTTTTGGTTTTTTTTTTGTTTTTTTTTTTTGAGAGAGAGCACTGGGCGGAGAGGGGCAAAGGGAGAGGGAGAGAGAGAATCTTAAGCAGGCTCCACACCCAGCACTTAGCCCAGTGCAGGGCTCCATCTCACAACTCTGAGATCATGACCCAAGCTGAAATCAAGAGTCGGACGCTTAACCGACTGAGCCACCTGAGCACCCGCACGTTAATGCTACTTTAAATTATGTTTATCAATAGCAAAAATAGCAGCTTACTTCCAGTAATGGAGTGCCCATGATGAGTCACAGTCATGTGCTAAGAGCCTCAAGGACACTGGATTTAAGACTAACCCTCAGTAAGCTAGGAATCCCACCTCCAGGAGGAAACTGAAGCTCAGAGCCCAAGTCGGCTTCCCATCACACAGCCGATCCCTCCAATTCCTGACCCCATGCTCTTTCCACACATCATACTGTCTCCTTAAAGTAATTCATAAGTTAAATGAATGAATCAATGCACAATCAAAATATAACAACATAGGGGTGCCCGGGTGGCTCAGTTGGTTAAGCGACTGCCTTCGGCTCAGGTCATGATCTCAGGGTCCTGGGATCGAGTCCCGCATCGGGCTCCCTGCTCGGCAGGAAGCCTGCTTCTCCCTCTCCCTGCCACTCCCCCTGCTTGTGCATGCGCTGTCAAGTAAATAAAAACAAAATCTTTAAAAGTATATATAACAACACAGAGGTCACTTTAAGTAGCCAGTTATCACACACACAACCATCTGTTCTCTTTTACCCTGCTAGGAGGGAAAATTTAAGAAGATACGAAAATCTGACCTGGGGCCCTTGGCTGGCTCAGTCAGTAGAGCAGGCGACACTTGATGTCTGGTTGTAAGTTCGAGTCCCACATAGGGTGTAGAGATTATTTAAAAATTACAAAAAAAAAAAAAAAAAAATCTTTCAAAAAAAGTCTGACTTAAAAACCACTCCCTTGTTGCCAACGATGACCTTGTTTACTCCAGCCAGGAAGCAGAGCTTTTGCTGTCACCACCCTTACTCGGGATTCCAAGTCAACCCTGAGTCTGGTCGAAGTATTTGGGGCCAGCTCTCCCGTTCCCTGTGACTGGCTCTCCCGGCACCGCTTGTTACAGCCCCACAGAAGCCCTCCCCACAGGCACTCCCTTTCTCCTTTTTACGCAGCTTTTAAGGTATTAACTCCGTACTTCAACCTTCCCTCCAAAGAGGGGTTGAAATCCTCCACAATCATAAACAGCAACAACACTGAATATGAACTATTTCTCTATAAATCCAGAAGCCTGCCTTATTTAAAGGACACCCAAAACATCAACGGGGGGGGGTTCCCATCTCTGCAGGAGTCACTCCCGTCCCTCTGATGGGTGCTTCTGGCTGAGACACAGGTAACACCAAGAATTTGCCTGTCAGTCCTGATTTATTTAGCAAACAGCTGCTTCCAAAAACAACGTTCGCTTCCGCCATCCTCTAAGACCGTTCTCTCGCATATCACTCCACACCAAAGCTACATTATCTGTAATGATCCAGAAAAGGACTTCCAAGTGCCTGAACTACTTTTTTTATTTAAGTGATCTCTACACCCCATGTGGCGCTTGAACTGAGGACCCTGAAATCAAGAGTTGCATGCTCTACTGACTAAGCCAGCCAGGTGCCCCATTTCTACCCTCTCTAATTTACACGTCAGACACAACATTTTAAAGCTCTGAAACACCTACACACACACACACACACACACACTCTCTCTCTCTCTCTCTCTCTCTCTCTCTCTGAAATGGAAACTTTCAAAGTTCTTTAAGGTGAGAACTTTTACGCATCAGGTAAAATCATGAAACAATTCACAGTGCTCCTGTCCTCTCAATCCTAAATCCAAAGCATTGTTTGCTATGACCATCACCTGCACCATTTAAATCAAAATGGATTTCATGTGTTTCCCATTTATTAAAACCGTCTTAGTAAGAATCAGATATTTTATTATGAAACATTGCTGAATTAATACAAATTGTCAAGAGGATTAACATAAATCTCTCCTGACTTCCAGAAGCTACACAGCTCACAGTTTCTTTCACTTGAGTTGTGTTGTGGTAATTTTTACCTTCTGTGAAGGTACTATAAAGCCCTTTGTTGACACAGTCCTACATGATCAAACACACGGTTCAACTTCCTTAGTCCAAAGGTCTTTTTCAATAGGTGTGAAGAGCTGCTGATAAGGGAGATCTAGGAAATGCGCCTGGACTGCAAATCTCAAGCCCATTGGCCAGCTCCATGAGGCCTACAGTAGCTGTCTTCCACAGGTAGGAAGGGAAATGCATTCAAAACACTCCCTTTGTTCCTTGAAAAAGCTTAAACTGGCAATTTTCATGAAACCGGAACTACAGAGTAAAACTAAAGTGGATATTTTTACATAGATTGTTCTTGGAGTTTCTCTGAGCCCCCAAATGTTCTGCCTCCCTTCTATTCAAATAGAACACATATGCCCAGGTCCAGGAAAGAGGCCACCCACAAGGCATTTGAAAATGAAGTCACAAGCAGACATTTACCAGATCATCCAAGTTTGTATGGGGAAGAAAAATTTGCCCACCATATGCAAGCCATTATATTCTGTCATTGTTAAATAAGGCTGATAATTTAATGCACAATACAGGCAATCTAGCATATGGAGAAAGCTCACAATTTGAGTTCAAAAACGTCTTTATAAGTTTGATCATAACAAACACATTTTGTTAAAACTTGGGTAAGTTTTCATCCTAATCTCTGAGATGGATATGTGTGAAATTTAATAGTTAAAAATTTTCCTGCACATAATCACCAGTAACATTTTTACGATACAAAGCACTTGCACAAAAGCTCCCATTCTCCTTTGATCTGGAGCAATCCTGTAAGATGGGATGGTATTACTTGCCTCCCTATCTCCAAAAGTGAGGTTCACAGGGGTTCCACTTTCCATTACCAACAAATGATTTCCTGGATATAATAAAAAAAAAAAAAATACTGACTGTACCAAATGTTGGTGAGGATGTAAAATGGTACACCCGCTTTAGAAAACAGTTTGGCAGTTTCTTAAAAAGCTAAACACAATCTTAACCATAGGTTCCCATAATTCAACACCTAGAGATCTACAGCCTTAAAAGAATTGTTTCAAAAAGTCTTGCATGCAGGGGCACCTGCATGGCTCAGTGAGTTAAGCTTCTGCCTTGGGTTCAGGTCATGCATGATCTTAGGGTCCTGGGATCGCTCCCTGTTCAGTGGGGAGTCTGCTTCTCCCTTTGGCCACCATGCCCACCCCTGGTCATGCTGTCTCTAATAAATAAAATTAAAAAAAAAAAAAAAAAAGTCTTGCATGCAAATACTTGGAGGCACATCAATAGCAAAATACTAAAAATCATTCAAATGACCATTAACTGATATAGAGACAAATAAAATGTAATAAATCCATACAATGGAACTCTTCCAAATCACTAAAAAAAAAAGCTGATTTCCAAACCTACATGCTTCTCAATTGTACACACACATTCTTAACCATTCTGTAATGGGAAAAACCCAATCGTGTCTCTATAACTGGGCAATGAGAGAACAAGAAACAAACACAGACGCACCCACGCACCCACAAGCATTCAGGGCTGAGTGAAAACTCTGAAGATCTGTGTTGAATTCAAGTCCCTGCTCTCCACTAATGTCAACGAGGG